GAGAACTGAAGCACCTGTTGATCCGATAGTGAAAGTTTTATCTACGCTATGGCGCAAGCGTTTTTCTCATTCCACAATCTTTCATCTTCGTCATCTAAGTTTTCTGTTTTTACAGTCGAAATTACCGAGTCAGGTCTTTTCAATGATAAGGCAGCTTTTTCAATGCCTAAATAAAATAGTACTCCCCAGCTAATTAGGGAATGTTCACTTCTCTCAGCTTCCACTAAGACAGTTTCGTATTCTACTTGGTTATTACCTCCAAATCTCCTCGATATAACCATGGACTTGCTACCATTTGTTGTTCAGAGGCCCATACTTAGAGTAAAACATCTATCGATTTAGGACAACACACTTTATTTACACAACTAATCAATAAAAAGGGCACACAGCAAATCATACTGACCATCACACAGCACCCACAGCATATCACCATTTCCGTACGCTCAAATGATGGATGTGTTGGGAGAAGAGACAGCTGCGCCAGCATAATTAATACGCATGCGCTTAAGAAAAAAAGTTCGCTCACTTATACCCAACAAATTTAAACACATGTATTAAAATTTAGTTCTGTTTGTAGCAACATAACAGGGCAAATCAGAATTTGTTTAATGAAAATAATTAGATAAAAAATTGTTATTAGACTGATGCATTTTAAGATGTTTGCATGTCTATCAACCATAAAACTTAATCTCATATGCAGTACAGATTTTGGCTCCATATATGAGAGCTCCTGTAATAATAACAAAAAAATATATTTGGGAAATACGAACCTAAACTGTCGGATGCTTTTCCGTCAGTATTAAAAAGAATGAAAGAATATTTGAAATTAGTTCATTGATTTCAATCGACTGCATACTTGTAAAGTGTCCGTATAAAATTTATTAAATAGGACAATTTCATAAATAAACAAGATTCCCATTAGACGGTTATTTTCAAAGCACAAAAAAGTTACTTAGGAACAATTATTTTTGTTGTACTGAATTTCCCTTGATCACTGGTAAGTAATTAATGTATTTATATATTATTTATCCTCATACTGTAATTTGGATGGGTACAACGAACCCAGATATATCGATTAACATTTGGGGATCATGGCTGATACTGACTAAAATTGTAAAAAAACGGTTTTTCTTTTTTTTCCAAGAAATGTCGCGTAAAAGATATCCTTTTGTAAAAGAAATAGAAGAAATTGTAAATTCTGATGATTTTTTTTGCATCTGACGATGACGACGATAATAGCCCCATAGATATTGTTTAAATTCCACCAGAGCGGGTTGATGAGATTTCAGATAATGAGGACACGGATGACAACGTAATTGATGATGAAGAACCATTTGATGTTCCCGGGTGTGTTGAAATTCACCGTGTGGCAGGATTTGAGGAAAATGTTTTAGTGAATGCAACTGAATCTTCAGTCAATGAAGTAACAAAGGTACCGGCTACCACCTGCTAAACGAAAAAGAAGTATTGACTTCAGTTGGAAAAAGAAGCACTAAGTACTCAACTATATGAAATTTCGACGTTATAGAGACAAGGCGAAATGATTCATTAGAAAAACTCGGAAAATCCCTGTAGAGTGTTTTGAAATACTTTTTGATAATGAAACTGTCACCTATATTGTCCAGCAGTCTGTAATATCCAGACAGAAAACAATCATCAATTTCAGCTTTCTAATAGCTGCCTAAAAAATTTATTGGAATACTTCTTTTCACTGGCTATCATCACTTTTGCAAGAACAATATATGGTAAAGATCAGACATGAACATTCTGTGTGTAGAGCAGCATGAGTCAAAATAGGTATCTTTAAATTAAACGGTACCTACATATCAGTGACAACTCCGATTTAGAAAGGATTCCACTAGGTGAACGTGATAACCTCTTCAAGCTTCGCCCATTGATTGACAAGCTGAATGACAAATTTCAACAATTTGGGGTGTTCTCTGAAAGTTTGAGCATTGACGAACAAATGGTTCATTACTATGGACATCACTACCTAAAACAATTTATACATGGTAAGCCAGTGTGGTTTGGGTTCAAACAATAGGCTATTTGTTATCAGACTCAAGTGTATGAAGGCAAATCAAAGAAATTAGGAGATGATGAAAGCATCAGTGGGCTTGGGACATATGTTGTCCTTCAGATGGTATCTATTATTCTTCAGACACCAAATGCTCATAAAGTTTAATTCGACAATTTTTTCACAGGATTTTCTCTGATGAAAAATTTGCAAGACATTGATGTTAGAGCAACGGGAACTCTTCGATTCAAGAGAATAAACAAATGCTCTATTGCAACAAAGAGAAAAGGAAAAAAGAACGCGGGCATATGACTACAGATTTGATTCCCGTAATGGAATTTTAGCTGTCACGTGGAATGATAACAGTTGTGTAAGGCTTCTGTCTAATCATGAAACTATCGAACCAATATCAGATGTGAAGCGATGGAGTAGAACAGAGAAGAAAGATACTCAAGTACCACAACCTAAACTGATATCAGAATATAACGAATACATGGGTGGAGTAAAGAAGATGGATTGGAATGTTCAAAAATACAGAATCAGAATAAGGGGAAAAAAATGGTATTTTCCTTTGCTTACTAATGCCATCGACGTAACACTGGTTAATGCCCACGCACTGTATTGTATTTCAAATGATAAAATTCCATTGCTAGATTTTAGGAGGATGGTTGCTAGAGGATATCTTTCTTTATCTTCAGAACTCTCAGATGCAAAAAAGGATGGAAGGAATTCTTTCACTAAAGCATCAATTAATCGTGTTCCTACTGTTATCAGAACATCTAGTAATCATTATATTGAATGGACCGAAAATGTGCAGTGTGCAAAACAAATGCAAGAAAACAATGTGGAAAATGTAATGTTGGATTACACATACACTGTTTTGAATGCTGGCATTAAAAGTAGATAGTATCAACCATGATCCCCATTTGGGGATCGGACTTAAATTAAAAATTTCTGAAAAAAAAATTGATGCATTCATGAGAAAAACATGTTTTTCTTATTTAGATGTAAAAAATATAAGTTATTTATATATAATATAATATTTATAACAGAAATAAACAAATTGATGAAATAAAAATTTGGCAGTTAATGGGTTAAACAAGGCAAGAACTCAGAATGCTCTAAAACTCTCAACTAGAGAGAGACTTCCTGCTCGCAAGATCTTCACATAATGAGGACAATAACTCGCAGTTCTTATCTTTACCATGCATTCAATATTAATTGTTATACAATAATGTCGATATTGACATTATTGTACTAGTAATAGAGCTTCCCTAAGCAAATCGTAAACCATTCAGTTACCAACCTTTACAAATCACTGTATCAAGGCATATGGTCACCATATTAAAGCAGCATACTGCTGATAACTGTGTTAGCAAAGTAAACTATCAGCAACTTTTCTGATAACTAAATGACATTTATCTCACTTTAAATAATTGCTGAGTCAACTACATCCTCAAATGCATAGGAAAACTTTTCAACTTTACAATGATAAAAACTACTGCTCAGAAATGTCTTTTTAACAGCCTGATTTAACACAACAGATGAATAACGAAATCCCAAACAACTGTCAAATCCATCTTCTCTCTAGCCAACTCCCCAACAAGCACTCCAACACAGAAGCATCTAATTCTCATTTCCAGTAGAGTTTGTGATTCTGTGACAACAGTGTGATTGTGCTTAACCATATGCATTATATTCAGTTCTGCATCTTCAAACGTTTTTTGCAAGTTTCTGCTATTTCAACAGCAGACACATGAAAAAGTAAAGAGGTATGTTTATTGCTGTATTTCCCTGCATTTTGTCTTGACTGTAAATTAATGCATTTAAATAGCTGATTGGTTGAAGGCCTCTGACTGACCTATTTCCCTCAAGGTAAAATGGAACACTGTCGAAAATTTCTTGGAAAATGACAGACCTACAGCTGCACAAGATTGTGACAGATCGGATTCATAGACTAACCTTTAAAATACATCCCATTTGGAAATCCAATTTGATTTAGTTGGCATTACCAGTAAAAACACAAAACTTTCACATATTGTAGTAAATTTAGACACATCAACTTTAACACGTCTTAGATATTATCATAACACCTCCTGAAAATGACAAAGATCTAACTTTTCAACTTTACATATTTAATCATGAAATTTAAAGATTCTGAAGTACAACAAATCTGTAAACTTTTATCAGATTTACAATTAGGTGACAAAAAAAAATTAGTTCCTTTTTGAAACAAATGAAACAATTATTGTTACACAAAATACATGATTTCCTAAACAACTTGTGGACACAAAGACTTACGAAAGCAATTTTATCAGTGTCTGATGCAGATTTAAATTTTCTAGCCCAAATAGCAGATAAAATTTCGGAAGTCGCAAACGAAACACAACCAAGTACTTATGCTACTCACCAAAACACAGAATTATCTCCAAGTTTAATCTTAACAAACAAATACAGAATCTCACTAGGCAAGTTTAATACTCGTCTTCAAAAGAGTACAATCAATATCCAAGATAAAGTGATAACTGCAATTACTCGAAAAGTAGGCAATGTAATTCACCCACAAATCATGCCAACACAGGTTGCAACTTTTGCCATCAAAAGTTTAGAGCTGATGCTAACAAATGCATTTCTTCATGCACTTTTCAGTTGGAAAACTAAATTCAGCTGCTATTCCGAAACAAGTCATGGAACAGATTACATCTATACGACAACCATACAAACCTGAAATTTCTTATTGATACAGGTAGTGACATTTCCTGCATTCCAAGAAAATATATCAGTGCCATTGCTCTTGCTCTACAGCTATTTGCTGCAAATTATAGTACTAAAATGTACAGCATTAATTTATTAAATTTAAATTTAGATCTCAGGCAAAATTTTAATGGAATTTCGTAATAGTTTCAAAAAGAGTTTGAATATATGTTATCAGAGAGAATTTGTTGACCCTGTAAAAGTAACTGGTCATTATCTTTACACATAGTATACAGTCAAAAGTCGTTAATCCGGACTCGTCGGGACTTCGGAAATTCCGGATTATAGATCATCAGTTTAAATCTGGTAAGATGGCATGCAGAAATTATAAAATTAAAAATATGAAACCATAATTTATGAAATAAAGAACAATTATGATCTAAAGGGTATCAAAATTTACAAAAAAAAAAAAAAAAAAGCTTAATATTTATTTGTTTATTTTATTAAACATTTCTTTCAATGTAAGTTGTTTAAGTTGCTTCGTTTTTTATGTGATAATACATTCTCTTTAATTCTATAAACAGACATAATTTCTTGTTCAGTTACAAAGTTCCACTGTTCAAGTCCTATAATTGCTGTGTCGAGAATACCGACTAATTTGTCAATTGAAATTTGTTCGTTTTCAATAACCTCTATCACTTTCTTCGCTATCGGAAGCAAATTATAATGACGAGGAATTTGATTTTAATGATATCAAAGACGGAGTACATCGAGATGAAATACTACATTTAGTAAGGAATTATAAGCCAAATAAAATAAAAACATCTGCCCTGACGATAAGGATAGTGCTGACAGATCAACTTCCAATTCATTGTGCGCCACAGCATTAAAGATAAACAAAGTTTAGATAAACAAACGTAAAGTTTAGTAAACAAAGGATATGCCTTTATCTATTTTTTGCAGCAATTCCACTTTTTGTTTAATGTACTTTGAAACATACTTTCGCTTTGTAGATCCTTTACATATTAGTAAATATATATCAGAAATTCTATTTGACATAATCGAATGTTCAAGCTTACTTTTATAAAAATTGCTCTAACAGTCTGCGAAAAATAATAAGCTGAATCCAATTCGAAGATTAAAGAACAATGCAATCTGCAACATTAACTGAATTACATAATTTTAGCTTAGCTTATACCGTCTGTTATACATTAAACGCGCATTCGTAAACGTGTTTTGCGCACGAGCGCACGCATATTCGCAGCCGTCTTATGCGCATGCGAAGGTTTGTAGCTTTGAGGTCTGGATTATGGGTGTCCGAATTAATGACTTTTGACTTTATATATATATATATATAATCTACTGGCATCAGAACACTTAATTCAGTTACAGTTTTTGATTCATATCCCACATATACAAGATTTTGCTCAGTCTCTTTATGGCAAAATAGTGTTTTATAAATTAGATATTGCACAGGCTTATCATCATATACCCATCTATGAAAATCATATATTTAAAACAGCAATAATAACCCTTTCAGTCTTTCTACTTAACTTTTGGACTTGAGTATGTTGCTCAAACCTTCAGCGTTTAATGTACAAAGGGTTACAAAGATTAGATTTTTGTTACACATACTTAGATGACATTCGCAAAGCACTGCATAAATAACACGTTTCCAAAGTTTTCGTAAATTACAATGATTATGGACTGAAACTGAATACTTCAAAATGTATTTTTGGTGTTCCTGACATAAGAATTCTTAGGCCGTTTAATAACCAAAAATATGAGTAAGCCTTTACCTCAAAGAGTAGATGCAATTTTGAACTTGGAAAAAAAAAAAAAAAAAAAAAAAAAAAAAAAAGTAACTGCTAAAAGAGTTAAGAAAGTTTTTAGGGTTACTAAATTTTTACCATATATATTTGCCATGTGCATCTTATAACCGAGCACTACTCACTGAATAATCAAAAGGTTAAAAAACGAATGACAAAGGCAAAATTCATTGGTATGTTAAAAGGAGTGAAGCTTTTAAAAATGCCACAGAACAGTTAGCAAATGCTACATTATTAGCACACCTTTCACTAAATGCATCCCTAATTGTTCCAAGTTGATGCATCTAACTATGCTATAGCCAAATCTCTAAACCAAGCTATTAACCATAAATTCAAACTTCTAGCATTTTTTTCTAGAAAGCTCACAACCACTGAGACAAAACAAGAGTGCATATGATAGGGAATTCAATCTATGCATCTGTTTGGAAATTTACATACATAGGAACAGAAATTTAGAGTGTTTACTGTTCTCAAACCACTAACATTTGCTTTTAAACAAAAACCTAAAGAATGCTCCTCAAGTCAAAGTTGTCAGCTAGACTATTTCGCAATTCACAATATGTAATACATAAAAACAACCGATAATACAGTTACGAACATATTATCTTGCATTTATGAAATTTAAATTAGTGATCTTAGTGATTATGAAGAAATTTCTCAGGCTCAAACATCAGATGAGTTATAAAAATGTTAAATACTAACAAATCTTTACCCCCCCCCAAAAAAGGTTCAACTTCCAAATTCAGAAATAGAATAATATTGCAATATATCTACTGGCTTAGTAAGAGCTTAAATTCTCTGGGAATTCTGAAAGTTGTGTCTTAATTGCATACATAATTTAGCTCATCCAGCCATTTCAACTATTTCAAAATTAATTAATAGTTCATAATTGTGGCCAAATAAAAAAAAAAAAATAAAAAAAAAAAAAAAAAAAGATATTATGAACTAAGCAAGACTGTGTATTCCATGTCAAAAGCTAAAATACACAAACACACTTCACTGCCTTCACAATCATTTAGTGAAATTTGTATGCAATTTAAGCAAACTCATTTAGATCTCATGGGCTCACTCCCATCTTCAAATGGATTCATGTATTGTTTAGCAGCTGTTCAGTGGCGGATAGGGCCGGAGCGATTTTGGGCTGATCAAGAAACTTGAACGATCGAATCAACACAGATGACTCAGCAAGACAGCCCTGCGGAGGGAACGTCGTGCATAGAATTAATACTTGCACTCAAAAGTATATCTTCCAATGATATACAAAATGCACAGGTACGACAAATGGCAAAATCTATTTTGGATAAAATACTCCACTTTTAGAATAATTTTGTCTGCTCACGTATTTTTGAAAATATTTCAATATACTGAGCCAGTAACGAAACAT